AACCTATGTGCTTAGTCTGCTTAGAGACAAAGTCTGTCATGAAAGATTTTAATATACAGTAAGTTGCAATGGCAACATGTTGCACAAAGCTAAATATGAGAAGTCTTACTGAAGTCAAAAACAATAGCAACTTCTTACCAGAACTACAACCACCACGCAGGTGTCTGCACTCAAGGCTCGCTGAAGTACCGGTAAGTGTTTATTGTTTTGTTTGCAACCTTGCTTCACATGTTTTGTATTCATATTTATTAAAGAGTACAACTATTAAACATGCATTTGAGAATGAAATATGTTAATTTACTGGATTAATAAACATATATATTATACACAAACATTTATAAAATGGCAGTTTTATTACATTTGGGTCAGTGTGTAGTCCTGTGCAGCCCTCTGGTATTGTCAACAAAAAACCGTGACCCCTTTCATCATTTAAGTTGCCCATCCCTGATGAGGACGGAGGTGAGCAACAAAAACTGAACGTAATAGAAGACAATTTTTCAAGTCCTACACAAAATCATTTTTTTTAAATTAGCCATAAAATGCGGCCATGCGGCTTGATCACAATTCAGTGAGACTGCGACAAAAGATTAGCATATTTTCTCACAATTTTGAGACACTAACTAGTAGAGGTATAACAATACATCGATCTATATCGATATATCGATTTGAATGGTTCATGATTCAGTTACATCGAGGCAAAATGAAAATATAAATTTATATCATTGTCATATGCTCGATGTGAATCGATTTCATATGCCCWTTTAACACAGTCATCGTGTTAKATGGGCATATGATATTGCATTATATCGATTGCGGACATGTGAAATGAACTGAATCGAAATTGTATCGTGACAGACTTTGTGATATCGAGAAATATCAAATCATCATCCAAACATGTCGATGTAATATCGTATCATGATAAAGCTGGTTATTTACACCCCTACTAACTAGTCTCCAACAGTCACAACACAGTAAGTCACYGCCCTAAAAAAAGAGGCTTTATAGCAGAAAAGGTAAAACTGTGTAAGCGCAAATGAGTTTGTTAGTAAGAAAACTGCATACATGCTCGGTAAACTTTCCCTGGATGAGTGAAATGGTTCTTTTTAAAGCGTAACAAACTTGGAAAAAAAACCACATCTGTTCCCCAAGTTCTATACCAACAGCAACAACAACAGGTGAGTGCTGCTTGTTTTATCCCCCACCTACTCAAATTTCTCTACAGAAGCTCCATGCGATTCTCTTGATCCTTGTTAGTGAGCCAAAGAGWGCAAGCACTAAGAGAAGTTACTCCGGTGTGAACACACACACAAAAAAATAAAAAAAATTAAAAAAAAAAAACAAATGCAAACTTCAGCTGTGAAGAAAAGAATTGTGTTTGCGTAAACAACATTAACCATTCAGTAAAAGATGTGTGGTCTACTTTCTGAGCTCCACTGGGAATATATTCAATATAAGACCCGCAGTTGAAATAGATAAGATATAAAACACATCCTACCTGAAAAAGCACTCARTCAGTTCAAACACTTGCCACTTTACAACACTTGGAGTGTTGCGCCTTGGCCTACTGGGAATATTTAACAATATTTTTTACTCTTTCCTAATACAAAAAGTTAAGCCTTGCCTGGTTTACTTGAAACCCTCATTCAAAAAAAAAACACATTTTTGATAATAAAACTGACTCATTTACAAACAGATAATGGAATAAAACTATTTTCTTTCATTTCAAAGTGTTTTATCCTGTAAAGATTTGTTGATATATGTTTATATGACAAAAAATTTAACAAAAAGGAACAAACAAGATGAGTTATAGAGGATCGGTGAGTGTCAAACACAACAGATGTGGGAAAAAAGCTGATTACTGTTAGGAGTGTAYATTTTTTTCTTTCACAACATTTCTATCAAAAAATTAATTTGTCAAAATTCACAATGATGCAAGACAAAGAGGTCGAATAGATGAAGTAAAAAAAAAAGGCAAACGGGTGGAGGACGTCTTTGGTGTGCTGCTGAGGATCATTTTCTGCGTGCTGGCATCAATCGGGCGAATAATTCCTCAAACTTTTTTAAGTCCGACTTTAAATGGCATTACATATGTAGTGAGGCATGAAAAATTTATGCGTTGGGAGTCGGGGAAATGTCAAGGGTAATGATCTCCGAAGCAGCTTACCTCCTTAGCTTTCTGTTTCAGTCGAGCTTGCTCTGGGTCCTCTTGCCTTGAGCGACTCTGTGAGGGGGGGGACAAATGCACAGGTTAACAGCTGGTTTAAGAAGCCCACCCCCACACTACTTTGCTACTCATCTGTTGCTGCTGCAGCAAAAAATAGTACAAAAAAAAAAAAGAAGAAGAATCTGGATACAGAAGTGTCAAGGACATCATATCTGAATGCTGAGGAGTGCAACGGAGCACCCCCTGGGGGCCGGTGGCCTTTAAACCTGCTCCAAATCCAGCCCTAAATAAGCCGCTGGAGGGGGATTCTAATCAAAAGAGGTTATTAAAAAGTCTGCATGAGCCAGCACACGCACACGCGCGTGCACACACAAACTCACACAGGGTAGAGGATGTCAGTGACAATGGTTGCCTGTGTGTCCCTGGCATAACAACACAGCACTTCTATTTTAATCAGCGGCTATGATCTGGGTGAATGTACTTGTCCCTGGAAATCCTTCACCATGGAGCCAARCACACATGTACAGATGACCAATGCAGGCAATCCAGGCAGATTATGGCACGAGGGACTAACTGAGTGTTGTTTGTGAGTATCAGCATAAGGAGCATTATTTCATATTGCCRCAATAACCACAATCTGGCTCTGTAAACATTTTTTTTTCAATGGTTGTTCGACGTTTATTTGAAAAATCAAGTGTTTAAGTTCACGTATCTTGCCAACCATTTACAAGTAAACAGGTTTTGTTAACTTTCATATGAAATCAGTCAGAAACATTTCCTCTTCAGAACTGTTTCTTCCTTGCTTGCATCTGTTCTGCAGTACAAATGGAGAGCGGCTCTCCATAAGCCTTCCTGCTAATTGGCTTTTCAYGTATCAGGCAGTCCACGTACCGGTCCGTATCTCAACTAAGACTAATGTGTTTGGCCTCCAGTCGGCCAGAGCATCCCTCAATTCTTGAGTCATATTTTTAAATGACCGGCACACTCGAGGGAACGGCTCGTTGTGAAGGAGGGAGACATGGTGGAAGTGATTGGTTCAATAGATTTTGATTCAAATGGAAAAATCAGCAGGGAATGARGGAGGTGGGTGGAGTCTGTAGTCACAATAAAAAGGTTTTCAGACATAAAATTGTTTAAAACAAAACAGAATGAAAAAATACATGACATTTACATGGTCTAGTCGTTTAAGAACAATATCAAATATCAAATGTATAGGTGTCATTTTTATAAAGAAATCCAAAGAATGTCTGTCATTACAGTTTCAAACATTTAAATATTTAAAGGTTTTAGTTTTCTTTGATTATGATCTGAATTTAATGTCAAACTAGAGAATTTGCGATTCCTGTGAAAATGCTTATTGCTGAAAGATTTTTGCTATAACCTACAGAAGAAGCTGAAAATGTTCAATAGAAAAACTGTTAATGCAAGTTCCATTTGAAGAACTGCAATTTTGCTGGAAGTAGAAATAAAATAAAATAAGTGAAAAATCAGCAGAAAAACTTTGCAATTTGTGAGAAATAGCTAAAAAAAATGCTTAAAGGAGCTGAAAAAAGTTTAGAAGTAGATGAAAACCTGTGTTTCTACACACAGACAGGTGTGGTCCAGGTCTGATGTCAGGCTGGTACGGCTGGCATGGCAAGGGGTTTGTCTGTATGTCAACTACAGTGGGGTGCGAACGCTTGGGCACCCTTGTTAATTTTCCTGATTTACCTTTATAAATCATTGATTGTTTGGATAAAAAAATCAGTTAAATATATCGTATAGGGGACAAACACAGTGATATTTGAGAAGTGAAATGAAGTTTATATGATTTACAGAAAGTGTGCAATAATTGGTTAAACAAAATTAGGCAGGTGCATAAATTTGGGTACTGTTGTCATTTTATTCATTTCAAAACCTTTAGAACTAATTATTGGAACTTAAATTTGGTTTGGTAAGTTCAGTGACCCTTGACCTCCATACACAGTGACTCCAATTATGAGAAAGGGTATTTAAG